GATGTTTCAGGCAAAATCGAAGGGCCATCAGCGTGAGAGAGATCGGTAACGATCGTCATCCCGTTGATTCGCGAGGGATTCAGAAGCCTTCGGCAGGGATCACCACGGGCGGTCGACGATCGCTCGTACGGTGCATTCGAGGGTGGGCAGAGGGTAAAATCTCCCGCCGAGGAAGGGGGAGGGGAGGCAGGAAGCTGTCCTTTACAGGATCGACTACCAGCAACGTTGAAATCGGCTCGTCGAAGAAAGGGAGACGGGCGTAGGTGGTCGTTCGTTGCTGTTTATTAATTCGAGGCGAGGCGAGATGCGCGTCCACTTTGTGCGGTTCGGTTGCTCGTTTCGCCCACGCGCTCGTCACTGTTTCCATCCGACACGCATACAAGCACACACGCGTGCACCATGATAATGCACGATACCGCGAATAAAATACGCCCAGAGAAAAGAAGAGAGAGAGACAGAGGAAAGAGCAAGTATATGGAATCTTCGAAACTGCAAAATGAAGACTTTTTTTTTAGATCATCCAATAGCGCGGGGGTGCGCCGAGTATGCGAAAGGAACATCGTAAAAAGGCGACGATAAAGGCGTCGCTACTAAAGTGTCGCTGCCATGGTTTTTTACTAGCCACCAGTATCCGCGGTGTTATTTTATTGGTGACAAGCGTAATGAGGCGTTTGCCGACTAATCGTGTGACGGTATTCCGGATCGTTAATAATAACGATTTTATTATACGGTATGAATTATCGCTCGTAAGAAAACACGATTAATGATGTTTGGTGGATGCATATATTAACCGGTGATATCACCCGTAAATTTAGGAAATTAATTTCATCGAACATATATTATACGACTATTAATGTTATCATCGGTATTCAAACGGAACTCAAAATGTAAAAGAGCAAGTTTTAGCAAGTTGATGACCAATTAAGACACTTGCTTATTTTTGTCGAAAATATATGTTATTCTACATTCATCACTATATTTTATATAAGATATCGATATTTTGTATTTATTCTGTGTAATATTTTTTATAGATGCAATATGGCCGACGATTTGCTCATTATATCATTTGCAAAAATAGCAAACATGACAATTCCGAATAGCTCGGTAGCATCTATTAAGTATCATGCCTGAGTTTTACAACAGCTATAAAGTTATAATTATATGTTTGTGTCCCTCCCCAAAAATTATGTTTTTAGACTTGTTAATGGATTCGTGCCAGAACACTGACGTGATGCTACAATTCTATACGAAGGATCAGATATATAAAGAAGATATGTCATTCATCCATTCGAAAAGCTTTAATACTTCATCGATCTATTTCATTATTCGATCGTAAAGTGTCGAATTGTTTTGATTTTACAACAAATAGATTTATGCATAGTTTGCTTCCCTTGCCTCCATAGGCTATGATGCATTCCTCTTTCCGGACGTTAGAGGACATTAAAAATAACTGTCTAAAGGCATTCTCGCGATGCTAAACCACCCACGTTCTCGTCTCACGTTACGATCGCGTATCTCTTTTAACGCAGCGAGAAATCGCCTGGCCGATACTCGGATACCGTTATACAAAATTTTTTTTCGGATTTCGCAGGAAATCGTATGTATCGACGGAAATAGCCTCGGTAACTGAAACAACTGGCAACCGAGCAAATCGCATTTATTACATCGAAAAATAGACCGAATTTCTTCGTCTAAAATTAAATGCAATAGATTTTGTCTAGCTTATGTTAAGAATGTTTATCCATCACTGCAAAATGTTATTTTTCTACATTTTCTAATACTATTTCACATGTTCCTCTTACTTCATCAAAAAAAATGTGGCAGCAATAATTTTAACTATCGAGGTTATTAATATATATTTCAAAGTTACATATTTTTACCTCTTTTTAAATTATTTCAGGAATATCTGATGCTATTCTGTGTGTGACTGTAAGATAATAATACCTTAAGATTATGAAGATAAAAATTAAGAAAAGAAAGTATATTACGTCCTAATGAATTTTAATAGAAGCACAATCTACTATTGTATTTTGGAAAGATTAATTTTGTTGATGACAAATAATTAATAAAAAGGAAACTGCTTTTTCAAAATTTTTACGTTGCCGAGAAAACTATTTGTGAGAGATCTATGCATATATGATATATAATGGATCAAAAACGTCATATTTAAATTTCCAATTACAACACACATGCGGAATTTCAACTTGATAAACAATTTGTCAGATATCTACATTAAATAAATGAAAGATTCTGTCTTAAAGAAACGAGAATAACAGTCAGACGTGTAAAACTTAAAAAATATCCTGATCGAGGCGCGCGTGGCGGATAACGAGATCGGATCTCGAGTACTTTCCGCGCTTGAAGGGGAACATCGATGGTTATTATGGACAACACCATGGGGACCCGTCGCGTTAATATGCCATTTGGTTGGCTGTAGGTCCACGAACTTCTTATATATAAGAATATATATATCTCTCTCTTCCGCTCTCTTCCTTCTTTTTCCCCTCCTTCTACGCGTCTTCTCTTAACGGCTGTAAAAAATGATTCTCGCGGCGAAGGACATGTAAATTTATGAAGGCTCGAGGTCCTGCGGGGTCGTCCCTTCCTCTTCGCGTTATATCCTTATGACTGACCCCGCCACTAGCATTGTTATGCTAACAATTAATTAATGTCACTGTAATTATGCTGACAGCACGTCACATTTCCTACTCGCATCCCCCTGCTTTCCTTTCTCCTTTCCTCTTTCTTTTTTTTATTTTTCAGTACCGGCAACGATCTTCTTAACGCTTTCGAAAGACGGAAATTATGCTGATTAAGACGGTTCATTGTTTCTGCTGGTCTTTGTTGCTTCGGGTGCTTGAGGAACTATTAAAGAGGCTTGCCGCACATTTCTCTTTCTATGTATGTACGTATGAGGGAACGATTAGAAACGGGGCCCGCGCTTTGTGCACGTATTGTCTCGCGATGCGCATTATAGTCCTTTTTACGCAACGCGAAGCGCGCTATTGTCGGTTTGATTAATTATTATTTTACGATTAGATGTTTTTAGACACGTGCACATTATCTTTCTTTAACAATAATTAGAAGATTATATAACTGATATTTTATATTGAAAATTTTTAAAGATATAATAATCACATACACAAATACTAATATATATATTAATAATTAAAATAATAATTCAAAAATATAAAAAACATGCCAAATACAAAACAAAAAAAATATTTCAATAATAAAAATTGTTTAGCAATAATTTTTCATTGCATAAAAAATTTGTTATGCAACGATTAAAAGTTTAAGAGAGCAAAAAGATATTAAAATATACTTCGCGTTTTTTTATTATAAAATGAAAATTTATTTCTCACCGATCGATGCACAAGAGTTGATTAGCTGCATCGTAATACATACAAATATAAAATTCAAATTGTAGCAGCACCTAAAAATAATATTTCAAAAAATATTATTAATATTTCTTTTAATAATATTTCAAAAAATTATTGCGTGCATTGAATTTTATATTTTATGTATATAATAATAAATAGATATTTAATGAACTAATTTTACAAATTCCGAAAAGATTCTATTTCTCATTAAGTAAAAATTTTTATAGAATTAATCGTGTAATATTTAAGTCTTATGCATAATACATAATTAATAAACAAATAAATTACTCACCCCAGTGTTGCTCTGCCATCGCCCGATGTCTCTCCTAGTCCTCTTTCTCCCAAGTCGTCAGGGTCAGCAGGATCCATTGATTCACGTTGTATTCGCAAGAAGATCGTGCAGTTTATTACGCGCGATATTTTTAACGGCACTCCCGCACTTGGACGCGCGATATTTTTAACGGCACTCCCGCACTCTTGAACGCGTGATACTTTGTATGGCACACACCCGCACTTGGACGCACGACATTTTGAACGGTACTAAATTCACAATAAAAACAGACATGTAATACTTTATTTAACTCTCCCAAATTTCGCAATCACGGAGCAATATCTCGTTTCGCGCGAGGATTGCATTTCGAGTCGACGAAATAACTTCGAGTAAGGGAACCCAAAGCGGAAGAAAATGAAATCGATGGACGGGATCGACATGAATGGATTTTTGTCTCAGAACACATTTGGATCTTATAAGTGACTCGAACTCACTTAGACACGATTTGTTATGACAGTAGACAGCTCGTCAAGACGAAACATATGTCTTCAATGTGAGGTAAAAAAAGAGATCGTAGTGTTCAATAGATTACACATGAAGCCATGATATGGCGACATCATTGATATATATGATGTATATGACAAGAGATGGGATGGAATCAAACGACGGTGATCCTACGTGCTCTTATCGGGCAATCAATCGAATTCTAAAGCGATCGGAGCATAGCGTGCTTTTATTGAGCATTTGAGACTCGTGACAATGCTGTATTTGGATACTTAACTTCCCCTTCAAACCTAAAGCTAAAGGCTAAGGCTAAACCTTCTAGGTATTAATAAACCTTCTCACCAACATCAAGATGTATTCGTTGGGAGGATTTCAAAAAGTCGATGTAGATAGATATTTAACGCATGAAATAATTATATGCTAAATTTTGTTTTCGCATTTCTGATCAATTATTAATAAATTAATAAATTAATCAGTATAACGAATTGTTTTATGAATTATTTTATACTCAACGATATACACATATATTATTCTGCTCTCTTAATCTGATAATAGTAAATGATAATAAATTACGTAATGGACAAATTTAAAGTGTAATGCGAGATATATTCGAATCAACAAATAATAAAGAAATCATTATCTGCCGTAAATATCACATCATAAATCAAAATTTAAATATTAAATTTACAGCTGTTTTAAAATTTAGTCTTTTTCCGACTTTATAGAATATATAATTTTTTCGTCTGCGTGATATAAACATTAGAGCGTTTATGAATTTAATACATTTTCATGTTTAGCTATGAAAAGACACGCTAACCATTGCTCTTATTTTCTTGTTACAGGACGTAAGGAAGTTCGAAGGAGCGTAGATGAGTTCTACTGTCTACGTCCTCGGTAAGTCACGCAAATCTGAGTGAATGTAGAGATTATGCCCGCATTGATAGAATCGCAAGATAATAAATAAAATATATTGCTTACAAAAACACAAAAAAATTCTTCCCATCTTCTCTCACATTCCGCTAATCATACATAAAACACGAATATATCCAAATAGCGAATGCATCATTAAAATGTTTAATTACGACTTTTTTATTTCTTTAAAAAACATTTAAATATAAAAATAGGTAAATAAATAAAGATAACAATAATTAAAACGATTTTTTATTTTTAAAGATATCCAGTTGCAGGATAAACATTTCTTTGTAAGATGATTTGCGTTTCTCAGATAATGTGATTCTGTTATAAATATTAATATGCTGCCGATACACGACATGTGGCCTGATATAAAATATTTGCGCTGAAATTTGACTTTTTATAATGAACTTAGGCGTGATTTAAGAACTATTTATTATGTCATTAATTTTAAATAGGCAACTAAGTTATTTTTTTTTATAATTATTGCATAGGAAAACATCTTCGAAGCTTCGTAAATTGCGGATATTACAGATTAAATTTCAGTTTATGTAAATATTGCAAGAGTCGCTAATAAACTATGTATCCATATAATCCGCTCGATGAATTTAAATGGACAAATTTATAACCCTAGCTCTCGTAAATATTGGCAAGACTATAAAATTCTAACCGCATGCTATCAGATAGGCTCGATACGCTCTCTTTTCTTTATCACTATTGATGAGCGCTCGTATTTACAGCTATAAATCGATATCAACGCGTTTGCGTTAATAAAGTTATAGAGAAATAGCTGTACAGAAAATTTAAAAAATAATTAATATTTAAGATTGTTTACGTAAATCGATACTCGCAAAATAAGATTTGTAAAAAAACGCAAAAAAAGTCTCATTACGATAAGTTAAGTTCCAATTTCTTGCGATACGAACGCATCATCTGCGTCCTTTGCATCTACGATCGAGATGATTTTATAATGACCGGCGTTAATGTCGATTGATCGCATATGTGGCATTATTGATGCGATATGTCGTCGCGGTTAAATGCAGATCGCACCGAGCAACAAATTAATTAGCTGCCAATCGTGACATGCTCGAGCATCGATGTTGAGCAGCGATTGCTGACGATCAACACGTTGCGCAATTCGCGAATTTGATTAATGACTCTCACGAGCGTGCTGATTAATGAATGCAAATTATCCCCGGGTTAGTGTATACGCGCGCAAAAATGTAAACCAAGTGGTGGTTTTTCGTGCGACAAGCTCGGATCGATCAGTCGCGAGAAGCATGAGAGGGTCAGTTCCGAGCCACCTCGGACCTTTTTGGTCGATTCGACTTTAGACGGTGATTTCCTTTCGTTCTTCGCCGCAACGAGCGAGGAACGAGAGAGAGGAACGAGAGAGAGGAACGAGAGAGGCGCAGGCGAAGAAGGCGAAAGCGAGCAAGAGGATAGGCCTCCTCCTTCCCATAAATACGGATTTAGTCGCACGGTTTACGACCAAAAACGTGTCGAGCCTCGCGAGCAGAGCCGCGTCTAAATTATTAAAGTCGTAAACGATCGAAATCGTCGTTAAGCGCCGCGCGAGGAAACCCATCGGTATCCTCTCCGCGTCCTCTTCGACAAGGATCGTTTTTCTCGAGGTTTCATTGTTAGGTCGCGTTAGGCGGACCTCCGATAGTCCCGGTCAGAGCTGAGCCTCGATCCGTCGTAGGCGACAGTAAACGGGCTGACCGTCGCGATTTTTGCGATGGACTTCTGCGAAACGTCCGCGCAGATTAAACTCGAAGATGCGATAAGGAGACACTTACGACAGATAATCATGCGGTGACTGCGCGCGCCAGTCATGCTGCGAGATTGATTTTTAGTTAGATTTATTTCGACGCTCGAGAAAAGCGATTAATTTCTTTATAAATATCCTATAAACATTCACATGCTCAATATGTTAAATTTGATTATGAAACATTTTTTCTTAGGAAAGATAAATGCAACAGAAAATTTTAGTGTAAGAAATCTCGTACAATTAATGTATTTTCTCTTGTATATAATGGATCGGTATTATTTAAAAAAAAAACAAATTAGGAGATTAAAAAATATGTTTTCTGAATAAATTGAGAGAATAGAACACAAGTGTAACAATATCGCGCCACGCAATAGAAAATAAGACAACGTAACACTTGATGGATCAAAGATGAATTATAAATCCTCGTGAAGCGATTTAAAATTTGCATTAATGTCAAATGAGATTCGAACAAAGAAGTGCGATTATATTACATTAGCATATTTGCAATTATCCGGATTTGCCTAACGTGTATTGCTCGACCATAATCATTACGATAATTATTAGACAGCCGTCACATTTATTTCTGTAGGAGCGTCCGCGCAAAAAGTTCGAAACAACACATCACGTTTCCACGATAAAACGAACATGTGTTGCGAACGACAAGAAACGCGATTAAAATTTGTAATTAAAATCAGTTGTGGCATATTATCTACGCAGACAATGTAATCGACGAATTGCAACGCGTTTAGCTTACGGCGGTGCGAAAAGTTTAATTGCTCCATAATTACTTGTTATTATATGACGTGTGTGTATGTAATTGACGCAGCTTGTTTTATTGTCGTAGATCATCGCGATAGGTATTGAAATTGAAACGCGGTTACGTAACGCGGTCAAGTCGATGGTTCAGCAAAGAGACCTTGCCTCAAAATAAGGATTCTGCTCCGTTTAGCTAGGGGATGTATAAAATATGAAGTACCGCGATCGCTATAAATATCGCTCCCAAGATTTCCTTATAAATAGAACGAGAAATAATTTAGTTGCACCTTCGTGTACCCCGTTTTTCCCGCGACGCGTTAAACGAGGTGCACCTCGTAATGATGTTTAAGAATCTCCCTTTGTCGGATCTCGTTACTTTGTAATTTACTGCTTTCCTTTGAGCGCCGTATTAAAGATTTTCTTAGTGGCATAGGCGAGAAAGAGAATACGAGATCGCGTGTAACGATGATACATGTAAGCATATCGCGTTGTAGTATCAAAGTACGAGTGAGAAGGAAACAAAAAAAGGACAGAGAGGGTGGCCGCGAAAAAAGATACGTGTATATGTGTCAGAGGAACCGACCACCCAGTTTTTCGAATGGTGTGTGTGTATGATCTCCACTCTGCAAATATTTTTCAAGTCTAACAATAAGCGCGTATGTAACGGATCAGAATCTATGGACTTTGTTTTCAATGTCTCAATTTTTTTTAATTTAAACTTATTAAAGAGCTTCAGGAGAGAGAAAGAAAGAGAGACTATGATGGAAGTTATTTTTATCATTTTAATTATTATCTATATTCAATACAAGCTATGATATATCAATGTCCATATTCCCCGTTTTTTACTTTGCTTTTATTATATTATAGATTGTTTGCCAATATATAGAACCGACTTTTTTTTCAGAAAAAATTCAATATAATTCTTTTTTTTCCTTTCATTTTTTTACTGACGTATAATTTAAATATCTCTTTATTTCTAATCGTTAAATTATATGTTTGTTTAAAACGAGAATGAAATTTTTGTCGCCGATTGTACGAGTAATTAATGGAATTAATCAAATTGTATGTTTTTTTGATACATGATGGACATTAAATTATTTTTCCGCAATGCCACGCAATGAATCATACAACGAAAAAAGAAGACTGCGAAAATACATTTGCATTGTATATTCAACAAGATAAATATAAGACATCATTTATAACATGTACGCATGTTTCTTATCACACATCTTTTCTTCCTGCCAATACTTATTCAGATATACTCATTCGTAACGAGAACAAACATAAGAGTAGAATCGAATAAACATGAGCTTACACAATTGCTTGAAAAGAGATGTTATCAAATTGCGTCTATTCTTCGGAGCGAATAAAAAGCTGAATATGAAAGAAAAAGAAGAGCTTTCTTTCTCTGAATCAAAGATGTAATCGCACGCGTATACGCACATTTGTTGGTCGGAATATCTCTAAATTTATTAGTAACAAAAATCGCCCATAGTATCCGTAACGTTGAAAATATAATTCCTCGCGTTAGTTAATTAAACGCCGCAACAAATATAAACTTATCTGATTTTTTCAGAATTAATTAATTCCCAGGATTCTCTATAAATTCATGAGATGACTCGCACTTTTTCTCAGATGAAGATATCAATTACGAATACTGATCCTCCACCATATGACTCGGTGCATATCTACTTGGCGATGATCTCCGATCTCTTCCTTCTCCTCGAGGAAGGAACGTCCCCGACTTCCCGCCGCACGCACCTGTGTCCAGGACGTCTCCGGCACGTTTGAGATTAGAACCTAATTCCGGGAAGAGTTCACGCGCGCTACAACTGCGTGCGGCGAGATGCGTGTCGGGCTACCGCGTCACGTATCGGAGATAGGTGGTACACGCACTCTCTAGGTGGCTGACTACAAAGAAGCGAAATCAATTTGCAATTTAAATCCGTCGGCGTACGTGCCCGCGGGATCATCCGATTGCCGCGCCGATGATTCCGCTGAACCTGGGATGGGTACGATAACGGCGCGCGAGATCGAGAGTCGTTCGACTGCATTTCAAAGCTCGCGACTCGCATGAATCCTCGCACGGCTCCTGACCTATGCATTTCATAGATAGACGATGCAGCGTCTCTCGTCTTCGGACGTGCCGCACCGAAGTGAGAGCTCCTCTCTCAATCGATCTCGTCGATTTTATATCAATCGGTTATATATATTCTCTCGCGCATCGCGTGAGAGAAGCGTCGTTTCTTTCGCTTGCGTTTCTTTGCGACTGTGTATACTCTGTTAGAATTTCCTATTGAATTTTTCAATGGAGACGTTACATCGGGATGGTTCTTGCGGTGACGTATGCCAAGATTTTTGTACTTAAAAATAGACATTTTTTATATCTTTTGAGATATTATAGATGAGAGTATGGAATCTTTTATTTAGTGACTTTTTTTTTTAAACTTGT